AATCTGATTTGTGCCTCAGGAAGATCATTTGGGGGAAGGGAGGATGGACGGGATATGGGAGAGACCACTGAAGGTCACAGAGGTAGGTCAGTGAAAGGCTGAAGGGACAGAGTTGAGTCAGAACCGACATTAGTTGGTGAACCTCATGGCTGGGTGAAGGAAGACAAGTCACAGATGACAGATTTGCCCTTGGTTGGAAGGATGAATAGATCTGATGCCCCTGATGAGACAAGGGAAAAGAGGCAGCTGTGGGAGGGGAAACGAATATTGAGTTCGTGTGGGACATGGAGAATGTGTGGTGTCAGATACCTGTTGCCATATAGACGGGTGTGTGGAGCTGAAATTGGTGATTGCAGATTGGTTGGGATACCGTTGGAAAGAAACTAAGTGGACCCCAAAGATCACCAGTATTCGGGGAGCAGGCAAACGAAAAAGGACCCCAAGGAGGCACGTTTACCTCCTTGTGAACGATGGCTTGGGAGGAGCGATTTTAAGGCGTGGGAAGTCAGCAGCAGTGTGAGACCACAGTGAGGAGTGAAGAAGGGAAAGAGGCTCTCATCGTGAGCCCTTATTGTGTCATTTTGATAGTCAAGTAGCTACAAAAGGTTGTAAAAGGAAAAGGGCTGGGCACAGATGGCTTACACCTGTAATCCCAGCACTCTGGGAGGCCAGGTTGGGTGGATCACGAGGTCAGGAGATGGAGATCATCCTGGCTAACCCAGTGAAACCCTGTTTCTACTAAAAATACAAAAAATTAGCCAGGCATGCTGGCATGTTCCTGTAGTCCCACCTACTCAAGAGGCTGAGGCAGGAGAATCGTTTGAACCCAGTAGGCGGAGGTTGCAGTGAGCTGAGATCCTGCCACTGCACTCCAGCCTGGGTGACAGAGTGAGGCTCCGTCTCCCAAAAAAAAAAAAAAAAAAAAAAAAAAAGTCTGAGTCTGTAAATGAAGACTTCGTACAAAAATGTTGGCACTGAGGCCAGAGGCCTCTAAAAGAGCCTTTCATACCAGTGGGCTTCGGCACACCCACCCTTTGTGGGAACTGCAGAAATTAGTCAGCTGAGATGACCATCAGGTTCCTAAAAGCCTGTGACTGGGCTTCTTAATTTGAAGGAGAGGAGGAATATCCCCTAGGTTTTGACGGTGCTGGAGAGATGCCTGCAGTGGCTGTAATGCTTGACTGTAGGGCTGCATTTCTGAGAGGGGCAGATGTGTATGTAGGGCAGTTGGTCTGAATCTTAAAAGAATAAACACTTTCTAAAATCTAATGGGGCATCTGGTTATGGCCATGTGTAGAACAAACATCCCCTATAAAACAGCTCTGGGTGGCTAGGGGGCAGATATTCTTACACTGTAGAAATTCTTATTGACTTCAAGTGGGAGATGGACAGATTACCCATTTCATTCTTGCCACAGATTCTATGGAGGTGAAACCTATCATGACCAGAAAGTTGCGGAGGCGACCAAATGATCCCGTCCCCATCCCAGACAAGAGGAGGAAACCTGCTCCAGATATCCATTTACATCAAGCTGTGATCGCTTAAGACTGTGGAATCCTTCGTTTATCCATTCGATAGGGTATATATGGTTGTTGTTCTACAGAAAGTAGTCATGTTTAATTGGAAAGCAGATGTGAAATATTTGTCCATGGGTTAAGGGTTGCTCATTTTATCATGGGAGTCCTCATTTGCTACTGCTTTTGGTGGGAGAGATTTATAGAGAGTCATGATTTGGAAAGGTGCTTTGCATGTGAAGTTCAGCTTGGTTTTATTTATTTATTTATTTTTTATTGTACTTTAGGTACTGGGGTACATGTACAGATCATGCAGGATCGTTGCATAAGTATACACATGGCAATGTGGTTTTCAGCTTGGTTTTAACACTAACATCAAAATTCAGGGGCATCTGAAAACTTGATGTGCCTTAATTTTTTCGCCTGTGATTTTCCACCTTCCAACTGTAAAATGACAATAATATCTACCTTTATGTACCTCTGTTACCTATGTCCCTAATATAGTGGATTGCAAACTGTTTTTAAATGAAAGCAAATGAGATCTCAGTCAGACATAAAGCAGCTCTTTAATCATAAAAATGGTAACAGAAACAGGAGAGATGGAGAAGTGTTTCTGTTCCTTTCAAGGAGATAGTAAATAGCTGTCTGCCCAAAATGGTGTGGTCATTTGTGTGCCACCAGGAAAGGGCATAACTTCAGGCTGCCTCCCCTTCACAACAGGATTTAAGTTGCTGAGGGAAGATTAACCTTACCTTGGATGTTTGTGTGGAAGCCTTTAGATCTTTGGAACAAAAAAGCTTTATACATTCATGATGAAATTCTTATTTTACTGTTTCCTGTGCTCTGTTATTGTAGATGCCTAATGAAACTCATTCCACCTTCTCATCCTAACAGTGGGGGATGTGAATTCCTTTCTGTGCTGAAGTACCATGACGTTTTAGTAGGAGAATCATAAATTTCTAAGAAGCAAACTGTTGCTGTAAAAACATAATTTAACAGAATCACACTTTGTACATTCTAAAATACTGGTACCATTTTGTTGATTACTCTTTGCTTGGAAATTGTACTTTTCAGACATAGTCCTTTAACTCTCAACACCCCAGCTAAACTATTTGTTAACAGATGAACAGATCATGGAGGATCTGAGAACATTAAATAAGGTACAGTTTGACTTTTTTGATTTTTTTGAAAAATCAGGCTTGCATGGTTTTCTGCTTTCCTTTGTTAACATGTTACTTGTTAAATCATTATGCCTTTGACACCTGAAGTTGCATCTGAAATGATTTTCTAAGATTTTTTGTTGTTGTTCTTCCTACAGCTTAAGTCACCCAAGAGACCAGGTAAGTGCATAATGTATTGGCATTTGTGCAATCTTTTTATCATGTTGTTGGAAAATCATGTGAATACCTGTCAGGGAATTGTTGCAATTTTCAAAAATGAAATGTTCATCATTTGCCTAAGAGTAGTCATCACGAAAACTGAAGGGGACCTTAACTGCACCCATCCCTGATTTCTCTCTCTCTCTCTCTCTCTCTCTCTCTCTCTCTCTCTCTTAACCCTTGCTTTGTTATTTTTATTTTTTTCCTTAGGATTTATTATAAAAGAGACATTTGATTGGCTGGTAAAGGTTTCCTTCTGTGTAGACATCAGGCAAAATATTTAAATGCACATCCATTTTTGAAAATGAAACTAGAAGGGTTTTTAAGTATTACTGGCTTTCTAAAGTCAAGTCCTAGCTAGGTCAGTTCCAGTGGCTTTTCATGGCCTGACTCTGGTAAGGCATTCGAAGGCTGCTCTGACTTGCAGTTCATAGAAGAGACCAACCAGCTCAGTGTTCATGGTTGTTCTTTCCAGAACAGCACTTGAGATAATCAGTGCTAGTTGCAAACTAGAATTCTGAATTGGTGACATCTTTTTTTTGTTTAAAGTACTGTGATTACTCACACATTCCTGTACTCGCTGAATCTTGTGGAAGAAAATCAATTTTTGTAGATAATATCTTCCTGGGGGCCACTGCGGTCCACAGAGATGTCCTGACCTTCTGAGGCACAATGGGGAGAGTGGGGGAG